TGGTGATGGGAAACCCGTGGGGATTACAATTGAGATGAAAAAAAAATGTGCAAAATGATGTAAAAATAAACTTTTTAATAAAAAAAAAAGTTCTCTGGGTCCTCACATTTCTGGGGAGCAGAAGAGAAATTTAACATTTTTTTTACCATCATGAGTCTTTAATATTGAGTTTTCCTCAGTCTAGCACTTAATAGCACTCAGTCTAGTATCCGTGAACCCCTCTGTATTTCACCAAGATTTTAAAATAACTTGCTCAAATTCTCACGGCTAGCACGTGGTGTAATCTGGCTTTGAATTCATGGAAATTGCCTGCTTATAGCAACTTGGATGCTGGTAAAAGGCAGCTCTCTACAATCCTGGCCACATCATCAGATTTTTTTCAGTGCAGAAATACAGATTCAAAAAACAAAGTCTGAAAAAGACTCTAGCAATAGAGGGTTACCATGCAACTCACTATATCTGGGTTTACAGGACATTTAATATGGCACACAGAAATACTGCTTATTGTATAGAACTCTCCATTACAACAGTGTTCAGGGTCTTCACCTTCAAAGCCCAGTTGGTTTACACAGCTTGAACCCCATTCCAGAAAGCTAACCAGAAAGCTAGTTTGTCCAAACACTTCACCAGTCATTTTGATACCTGAGCACATTCAGACTAAAATATATCAAGTTGAGGCTTAGAAAACTGAAGGTCGTTCCATAACATAATGATAATTACATATCACTTATTTAGTAAGACAGGTATGGAAAATAAATAGACACTCAAAAATACCTTCAATTGGAAGAATAATGTTAGGAAACAGATTTCTGTCACATAAACTTATAGACAACAATGGCTTAAAGATTGTTGATGAACTGTTAGATGAATGAGTGAAACATACCTGTACTTGTGGCAGGTTAGGATCCAGGTCTAGCGACACTTGTTCAAGGGAGAACTCAGCTGCATAATCATTTAAGATCTGTTTCAAACTTTCTATTTCCTCATCACATTCATTCGTCTGCTTTATAACTATCTACAAAACAATCACCACCACCCCAAAAGAAGAATTTGGTTATAATTTAAGGACTAGATTAATTAATTAGCTTATTTTCAATTCTACCCCATCACAAATCCATTCAAAAACAGTAAATAGGAACCCACATAGACTTTAGTAGGAAACGAGAGTCTAAATACACAGAGAAACACATTTGCAAAGATGGCAGCTCACCTGGGCAGTAATAGGAGTACAAGTTTACTAAGCCGTACCTTTCTTTGCTCTTAACTATTTCCCTCTATATAGGCTGATTCTGGCAAGCATTTTCAGTCATATTAACATAAAGCTGTGGAGATTTATTAAATTACCAATCTGTCACATACATATTTAAATACATATTCCACATGGGGCTTTCCATGCACAAAGGTGCCGTAACAGATTCGATAGTGGAAAGGGCATGTTATTTAAGGTAGGATAGATTTTCCTGTCCCAGCCACATGCACAACCAGTTCCTACTGGGATCAATATTGTATATTTTATGAGTAAGAGGCTAAGGGTTTAAGAATCACCTGAGTTTGCAGAATACGGCAAAACTAATAAGGTAAAAACCTATTTATGGACTAAGAAATAGGATCAAAGTACGATGAAAGACAAAGAGAAGGACTTCAAAAGAAAGTCAAGATATTTCCTTGGAGTGCTTTGCAATGAACTAAATGCCTTTTTAAACTACAAAAATTTGGGCTTGACACAGAATTCTTCCCTGTACTTTCTTTAATATTTAACAATAATTTTAGCCGCAGTCTGGAAATGAATAACTAGGTTCACTGCATACACGTAGTTGCCAGCACTCAATAATGAGCTATAACCCATTACTCCCCCTAAAGCAATTTGTTTGGACACTTACAATATCTAAAGTAGGAATTAAAAGAAATGTGCTACATTCTAGTGATTTCACTACCATTTTTTTTATTTAGCTTTGAAACACATGATTTTCACTAACACAATAGGATAGAAAATTTTGGCAGCACCACTTTGACACCTAGCATAGCACAAAATATAATTTCTGCTTCTATATTCCCCTCTTTCATCTTGTGAAGAAGCCACTTTAAAACATAGTTAGGACTGTTATTTTCTTTTCCTAACTAGGAGACCAATAAGGTACAAAAGTTTAAAAATAATGTATCAAATTTTATTTTTCTTTCACCTCTCTTCATATTATTAAAATTAGTACACTGAGTTCCAGATCTTTTTTTCTCTCTGTGGGCGTTAGAAAAGCAGTCAGCTGATCAGTAGCCAAGCCAGAGAGATTTTAAGAATTAAGACTCAAACCTCAAGTCTTAGGAGAGTACAGAGTGGCCACCTAAATGTGAACAAAATTGTAGAGAGAGACAGAGAGTGATTTTCTTCCTACAGTCAGGTGGTGGTTGGAAGGAAGAAAAATAACCTTTTTCTCTTGTAGTGATCTATCTAATCAGAAGGAGGCAGGACAAGTGGGATCTATCAAGAGGGTTAAAAAGTCTGGAATGTGTAACTCTTTCAACAACTTTCTGCTCTTGTGAGAATGGCTATTAGTCTAGAAATGCAATTCCCACCTAATGATGATTACTAACTTGAGACTGGAAATCAAACAAAGCATAGGGGGAAAAAATACCTCCTGGCAAGAGGCTGAAAGAGATCATTAGTTGGTGGAAAGAAACCCTAATATGGAGAATGATACTAGGAGTGCAGAGACTCACATTTTTATTATATTTGCACATAAGTGAATCTTGATACAAGTTATTTTAGCAATTCACCTAACTTTGTGACAGAAGTCTCTTTATGTTAAAAAAAAAAGGGGGGGGCCAACTTGTAACACATGTTTGAGGAAAAAGTGCTGCAAACATTAATAGGAATGTGACTGCAAAGTATACAGAGATTACTATGGTAATGATTCCTGTACAGGTCCATTCAAACCCCGTGGGACTATAAATGCTACCTCCAGGTTTGAGTCTCTTTCCACAGCATTTTACCCCGTAGGTCTTTAAAAACTAAATGGAATAAAAGAGACTATGCTTTAATAGGTAGCACTAACAAGAACTAACAAAGGTAACATCTTATTCTCATAGGATTCAATAACCCCAACCACTAAAACTTAAAATAAAACCAGCTTTTGCTGAAACTTTTTTTCCAAGAACCTGGTTATGGTCATAAACTGCTCACCTTTAATAACTCATTTTGTTCCTGAGTCACATTTTCCAACAGTTTTATATCTTGTAAAAGCTGATTTGTCCGCTGAAACACAGGCAGAGGTTTCATTCCTGTCTGTGGTAATCTCAGCTCCACTTGATAAGACATGATTTCAGCAATGGTTTTCTTCATGGGGCGCATATTTTCAAGAATGACCTTAATTGTATTAAGATAAGCATAGTAGATAAGTGAGAAAAAAAAGGGGGGGGGGTTGCTGCTAAATCCAATTATTAAAAATTAAAATACTGTATAATTTTATTTTTATAGTTTCAATGTTTTTTCAATTTCCTTAGCTTACATTGAAAAGAAAAATCTATTATATCATTTGTAATCTAGTAGTTCTAAGGTCTGAGGAAAGAATGCCTGGAGCCAGAGTAACCTACCAGTGCTAAATAATGTGGGCAGCCCTCTTCTTATTTCCTTTCTACTCTCTGTGGAGACCTGTTGTTTGCTTTTTGTGTTTTCACTGGGCAGAGAGTTGTATAAGGCATCTGTATCCTATTTAGTTTTGTAGTAACTGCACCTAGCATAAAGCTTCCCATATCGTAGGCCCTTAAAAAATGTTTCTTGAATTGAAAAGAACTATCTTGTCAAATTTCAGACATCCCCCAAGGTGTAATTGAATCTTATTTTAATAACATCTGATATACAGGAATCTGAATTAATATAACCAATAAATGAAAAGAGAATATTCACCTTAAGTATCATTTTATTCATCCTCAAAACTAACTTAACCACCATTTCACAATAAGGAAACTGGACTCAAAGAAGTTAGAAAACTTAGATGAGGTCTGAATGTGAGAGGCAGGGGGCTGGGATTAGAATCCAGAGCTGTCTGATCCTAAAGCACATGTACTCCACACTGCCAGGGGAACTCTGAGTTCCCCTGCAATTTAACACATCCCAGCTCCTGTGCTAGAGGTTCTACATATGTTGGAATTGCTCAACATAATAGTGATGTGCAGATATGAAAGAATATCCAAGAACTATCCTCTGTTGTGAAATATCAACAGCGTAAGGTCACACTGTTAGGTGGAAAGGATGTCCTGAACGAATTCTGCAGATACAGGTTTTGTGGACTCCACCCCATACTCCAGTCATTGAAACTACAACTCCACTCCCTACTCAAGTCACTGAAACTACAACTCCCAGAAACACCAAAGGGAGGACTGTGAAGACCCAAGGGCAGAGCTAAGCAGCCATTTGAGACATTTTGGATAATATATAAGGAAGCCATGTTGAGCTCAGGGACTCTCCCTCCCTTAGCCTTGTGGCTGGTGTCTTGGCTCTTGATGAGCTTGTAGTATGCTACTGGGGTTCCAAGTCAGAAGAACTGGTAGAATGCTCTAGCTAACTTGTATCTCTCTCGCTCTTTTGGCCACATGACTGGTGGCTGGTGAGTTGGCTCTTGATCAGATATCAGTGTGCTGTTGGGATTCCAAGTCAGTGGAACTGGTAGGACGCTCTAGTTAACCTGTATCTCTCTTTCTCTTTCCCTGAGTTGTTCCTTTTCTTTCACTTTGTAAATAAACCCATTATTGACCCTTTTTGTGTGTGTCTGCAGTACAGTTGAATCTTAAGCATGCAGGTGAGGACCCACAGACAGAAGCAGTGTAGCTGGGGCAAGAACTCCATTCTCTTGATTTCGAGGCTCAAGCTTTTGTATTTATATAACTGCATTTATCTTGAATGTAAGACTTTTACATGTTAAGGTTTGAGGAAGAAATTAAAGGACAAAATAATATATGGGAAAATTATCTTTATATAGATAGTACTTTAAAGATGATTCAAAATATGATACTCAAGTCATCTCTATTTCTCAACTTTAGTTTGCTATTACTCTAATCAGACTGAATACTTTTTAACTACATTACATATTTCCAAAACATAAAAAGTATTTTGAGAAATATTTTAATAATGATCCATGCTTACCTCGCCATGCTTAAGATGTTCTTCAGGTGAAAAATCAAATATTTCTTTTGATAACAGGATAGCTTTGATTTTTGAAACTCTCTTCTCCATTGTTTTTACCTCAGTTTCAATAGCAGTTACATCCTAGAATTTCAGAAACAAACAAAAAACCACACTCATGTAGTATATGTTATGCATCAAGTCTGTAAGATAAAATTTGTCACTTGTTCTCATATTAACCAAATTGCTTAAAATTTATACCTCTTGCAAACTAACCAAATCTTACATAGATAATGCTGATTGTTTTCAATAAAAGTATTAATCTATTAATAGTACTGCACACTATGAAGCATTACTTGTATTTAATTGAATTAAAGGTGCTCATAGGCCAGTTTTCAATTATTTATATAATAATAGCAAAACCAGTAGGTGTCCAAACCAATTCTTAAATAAATTCTCAACTATCCACCACCATTCTTTAGATTTATCTTTGGAATGTGCTTAAGGGCTTGAATACAAGAGGGGCTAACATTTAAAAAATATTCACCACTTAAAGTACAATGATAAAGTCACCTTTGGAAATAAACACATCAGGAACTGAAAATTAACAGAAGGGTCACTAAACTACTTTGTAACCTACACAGATTAAACAGTAGAACATTTTGCCCAGTGCTTTTCTCTCTTCAATATCAGTTTCTAGAACCTGACCAAGAACCTAAAAGTAAAAGTGTTGTATGTAACATGTGTCATAAAACCTGCATACTAAAGAAAATGTGCCGTGATATTTATACCTGAAGAATGTGTGCTAGGAAACCTCCATACTGAGGTCCATTCACATCACCAAGTGTGTCTCCAGACCTTTACTTTAGAGCTCAAAGCATATATACTGCAGCAATCAAAAAACATAGCTAATAATGAAGTGAACAGAAAACATTAAGCAGTAATTAACTATGGGCTTCAAATTATAACAGTTTGAGGCCATTCAATTTAGGACAAATGTATCTTTACAAGCCTAAAGCAAATGAAGCAGAAAATACATACAGAAATTGTTTATAGTAATAGCACCAAACTGTAAGGAAAAGTTAAATTACATTGAAAATTATTTTCTGCACCTTATATTTAAGAACGTATGGAAAAGTATACTTTCCATACTTCTATACCGAAGTACTGAGGTGCTGGAAATTTTCAATAACTTCAATAACCACCACAACAATTTGTCATTCTGGGACAATGACTATTCCCAGAAGTTACATCAGTGTGGTATAGGAAGTGAAACTGAAAAACAAAAGGTGAACAAGACTCGCTGTTCTTGCCTTTGCTATGGGACACCATTCTTAAATGCCTTACACATTTTAAGTAAAAATGAATAAATTTTTATACCCAGTGATTGGTAGACAGCAATGCCTCAATAAATATTTGCTATTGGTGAATGAAGATTTGGAAGATTATCTGTTTTAATTCCTTCTTTGCTAATCTGAGCTTTCAAATCAACACTATATCTCTGACAAAGGGAAAATACCGAGCTTGTGTAACTAGGATTTTTCACTGTTTAAACATGCCACTTTAGGACTTAGAATGATAAGGGTTTTTTTGTTGTTATAAGGTAAAATATGATCCAAGAAATATGAACATAAATGAAAAGAATTTTTAAAGTGTCTTTAATCAATATCTAAATCACTGTGTCTTCATATAATTGAAAGTTGACTAACAGTAAAACTGATTTACTAAATGAAATATTAAAGATAAGTCAGATCTTCATAGTGCAAACTTACATCAGCCATACGCTGAATCTGTGGAAGACTTTCCATTATTTTTTGTTGTAAATCTGCTACTTGATGACTTAAATCTTGTATGGACTGGGCTAAAGTATCTGTTTCAAAAATTACTGACAAATCTTCCAGATCTGTGAACATTGAATGCAAAAGATTGTACTTCTGTTCTGAATCTTCCAGTGCCATCTAGATAATGAGAAAGAAGGAAAAGAGAGAAGCGTTACGATATTGAGAGAAAATGATTAAAATTTAAATCAGAAAAAAAATTGTATCAGCATGTATAACTTCTATACATTTCCAGTTATATAATGAAAACACTGAATACTCTTTATTGTCAATGGCAGTGAATGACATTAGTGTCTACTCTTTTTTTTTTTAAATTTATTTATTTATTCATACAGAACTGGGGTACAAGTCAGAGTTGCAGGGGCGGTCAGAGGCTTCACCAGAATTGTCTACTCTGTTTTGATGGATTTGTGGCAAGTACTTTTACATCACATAACCCTGCTCCTCCAATTTTTATTAACAGAAACAGGGCACTTTATCTGTAGTCTGTTCACCTGTGATTTGGAACTGGGAACAAAAAAATGTCTTTCAGGCTCTCTCCAATTAATTGCTATTGTAATTTTGGAAACTGTGGGTTTGAGAGAAATAAATTAAGTGGGTATGAGAAATGAAGAGGAAATTCTAGGACTTTCCAGTCCTGGAAGCAAAATCCTTCTTACTATATGGTGCCAATGATTTTCCTGAGATGTCCTATAAATTTATGACAAATTCCTAAGTTGCCTCCAACAATTTGAAAAACTTGATACTAAATGAACACAATCTGATAAAACTAAATAAAAGTGGAAAATAATGCATTCTTAGATGTTATGCCTTAGAATTTTTTCTTTTTGTTTCTAAATAATGTATTAACTTTCAAAGTTAAGATTTCAAAATATCTCAGCCACCTGCTGGAAATGTTCAACCTGCTAATACAGGTTTCCAGTAATTCTATAACAAATGATATGTGAAAGAACATTTGCTTATGCAACTATAATTCCAGCTATAATGTCCAAAATTAATCAGGTTACTGAGAATTTTATAATAGTCTCGTTCAAAACCTAAAAGGAGAAAATTTTTAGGAAAACAAAACTTAGAACCAATACTTTTCACCAATAATATAATTTACAATAACATTAAAAACTATACATTAGGTAGAAATTCAACAATATACATGCAAGACCTGTACACTGAAGACCACCAAACACAGCTGAGAGAAATTAAAGGCCAAAATAAATAAAGATATATTGTGTTACTGGACTGAACAGTCAGTATAGTTAAGGTATTAATTCTCATGAAATTAATGTACAAATTTAATGTAACCTCACTCAAAATTCTAACAAATCTCTATATAGAAATTGACTAATTGTTTCTAAGACTTATGTGGAAATACAAAATAGCCAAAACAATTTGAAAAAGAACAAGGATGTATAATTATATCTTTAATTTTAATTTTGAGACTTTTGATTTAATTTTGAGACTTTTGATTATGGTAATCAAAACTGTCATATAAAGAATGATAACATAGATTGAAAGAACAGAAAAGCACAGAGATAGACATACATACATATGTCTATATACATACATACATACATACATACATACATGTCAAGTGATTTCTAACAAAGCACCAAAGTAATTCAATGATGAAAGCTTCAAAAAAAAAAAAAAGAACCTAATTCCTGTTTCCTATCATGAATAAAAATTAACTTGAAATGGATCACAGAACTAGAACTACAAGTTAAAATAAGAAGAAAACACAGAAGGAAATATTTGTGATCTTGATTTCTTTGCTATAATAAAGAAAAGCCTATAAAAGAAAAAACATAGATAAGTTGGACTTCACCAAATGAACATTTACTCTCTGAAAGACAATGAGAGAATGGAAAGAAAAGTCATAAACTAGGGGGAGAGGGAGGGAAGTAATTTTATTATATACCCGAAAAAAGGCTGTTTTTAAGACTAACATTTACAACTTAATAATAAACAGACAAGCGACCCAATTAAAAATGGGCAAAATAATTTGAATAGACATTTCACAAAGGATGTATATAAATAGAGTATTTGAAAAAATAAGCATATAAAAATGCTCAAATTAGCACATGAATAAATACTCAAAATGTAAATAGAGAAATGCCATTTAAATCACATAACATGTTATTAGAAAGGCTAAGATTTAAAAGACAGGCTATATTAAGTGCTGACAAGAATGTGGAACGATTAAATCTCACACTGCCAGTGGGAATGAAAAGTGATGTAGCTCTTGTAATAAAGGAAATGCAAATTAAAATCACAATAAGATACCATTGTATGGCACATTTTAAAACAACTAACAACAACAAATGTTGGCAAGGATGTGGAGAAAAAGGAACTGTCCTGCACTGCTGGGAATGCAAGCTGATACAACCACTATGGAAAGCTGTTTGGAGGTTTTTCAAAAGGCTAAAAATAGAGCTTCAATATGATCTAACAATCCACTCCCAGGTATATACATTAAGGACACAAAAACATTGATTAAAAAGGACACCTAAAACCCCATGTTTACTGCTGCTCTATTTACAATAGGGAAGACATGGAATCAACCCAAAAGCCCAAAATAGAAGACTGGATTAAAAAGATGTGGTACATATACACAATGGAACATTACTCGGCAATCAAAGATAAGCTCATGCCTTTTGCAGCAACATGGATGGAGCTGGAAGGAATCATATTTAGTGAAATAAGCCAGAAAGAAAAAGAAAAAATGTTGAGTGATTTCACTCATAGCAGGAGCATAAGGGATTGGGGAGCGGGGGAGAGAAGAGACACAAACAAATGTTATAGAGTAAAAATGAAAACAACAAACACCTATAAACCAGAGATATTTTATGGGGGTGGAAGGGAGGATGGGATTAGAATGGGATGGGAAGAGTGCACTGAACTATGGTGATGGCCCTTGGGTGAAGTGGTGGTGGGAAGCCCATGGGGGTTACAATTGAGATGAAAAAAATTGCACAAAATGAAGAATGATAAAAATATAATAAAATATAATGAAAAATGCATTAAGGTCAAAACAGACACCAATAAAATCAATGTCAAATACACAAAAAAGCAAGGTAGCTATTTTGGAAAGTGATTTGAGTTTGAATGCCATAAAAACCAGCAACTGCATTCCTAGTTATTTAACAAATAAAACTAAATAAAAACATATGTTCACACAAAGATTTATATATTAACATTCATAGCAACCTTGTTTATAACAGCCTATGGAGCAGATTCTAGGCTGATTCCAACACTCCCAACCTCTCGAACTCATAGTATCAGCTCTCTTGAAGTAGACTGGACCTACTGATTAACTTCCAATAAAATGTGGTAGAAATGGTAAAATGTCACTTCTAAGAGAAGATGATAGACTATTTCCACTTTGGGGGTTCCCTTTCATTCCTTTACACTGTTGATGATGAAAGCAGCAGCTGCCAAGCTATGAAGGAGGTGTGCGATGGGACCAATGTGTCTGAGTATGGAAGTAGGTCTGCGGCTGGCAAGCAGGCATGAGAATGGATTTGGAAGCTCATCCTGGCTCTTCTTCGACCAGCTGAGCCTTCACACGAGACCACAGCCTTGCTCTATTCCTTGATTTCATTCTCATGTGAGACCTTGAGTCAGAGGCACTCATCTAAACCATACTTGCATTCTGATCCCATAAATGTTGGCTTTTAATCTGCCAACTTTTAGAGTAATTTATTACTCATTAATAGAAATTGAAGGCCTAGTCCCAAATTAGAAACAACATAAATGTCTATTAACTGGTAAAGGGCTAAACAAATTGCATTTTTCCACAAATGGAATACCACACAGCAATCAAAAGAATAAATGACCTTTATGAATAAATGCCTGGATGAATCTCAAAAATCTTTTACTTAAGTGAAAGAATTCAGGCACAAAAAAAGTACATACTATATATTTATGGGCTGCTGTGAAAAAGGCAAAACTATAGTAATAGAAAGCAATGAGTGACGAGGGCTAAAGACAGGTGAAGGGTGATTGACAACAAAGGGGAGAGTAGGAAACTTTTGGAGCTATGAAAATCTAATTCATATTAATAGTGGTGGTTAGATAGATAAATGTGGGCCTCTAACAAATCACATTTAGTTGTATACCTAAATAGATGTATTCTACTATAGATAAATTACTTCTCAATGAAGTTGATTTTAGAAAGTTTTCCTATGACAAATTATGTCTCAATAATCCTCAATTACAACATGTCTTTAGAGTAATCTTTAGATTATAAAAACCTGTTTTAACATCTAGATAGGAGGCTGTAGCACAATTAAAACAGATTTTTAAAGTTTAGTTGTAAGTTTGGCATGAGTCATTTTACAAATTGACTGCCTGATAATGGCAATGGGTATCCTAAAAATAAGATGACAATTTCGAAAATAGAGACAAAACAGGGCCCTCTTTGCTGGTGCGACAGGTTAAAGTGCAGCACTATGAAGCTGTCTATGGCCAGTGAAGCACGAGTCCGATCTCTGGCCAGGGAGGTGACCCATGTGGCGTGGCAGACTCTCCTGTCTTACTTGCTGTTCCCCTCAGCAGTGTGTTTCAGTCAATTTGCCTGTCTAGGGTGAGTCCTCTCATTCCCTGTACCTTTGGCCTATACCCCAGTTCTTATATGCATAAATGAAAACAAATCTTTTTTAAAAATAGGGACAAATGGAGTATTCAGAGCTAACTAGTAATATGGGAATGACTTGATACTGGGAGATTTATTAGGATACATCTGTGGGACACCTTCCTACATCTCCCCTTGTACCTACTTTGTCCACTCCATTCCAGATCTTAAACAAATTCCAGCAATTAGGAAAGTCCTGAATAGTGTGAGAGATCACTTCCACACTTGGACATTTGTGTCAGCAGAAGGTAGGAAATGTCCAGTTGCTTTTGCCTGAGAGCTTACTCTTGTATGTTTTGTTTTTTAATTCACAATAAGCATTTGAAGGGAAAAAAATCCTGTCTTTGCAAATTCCTTGAAAATGGTGAACACGTAAGTGATTATAAAAAAAAAAAAAAAAAGATAGGTTCTGGGGATGTAAAGAGTCAATCCAAAGGGGCTGGGGGAATCATAGGCAAGAGAAAAAAAGAAATAAATGGGGGAAATGCAGCATTTTTGTGACTGTTACCCTAGGAGGACAATGTGTCAACAAATCTCAAACATCAAGGAGGCAGGAAGTCTGTGATTTACTTAGGAACACACTGTGCTATTCTGAAGATATCAAAAAGAGTTGCATCAAATTTGAGGTCTGATTATTCTCAAAATTGTTATAGAATAAACCTTTTCCTGAGAGATTCTTTCTCATGACAGAGTAATACATAGGAAAGGAATTATGGCTTCATACTAACATTTAAGTCAGTACTGGGCTTCTGGAAGATTTCTTGGGAGTCAGGACCCAAGCAGAAAACTACTTTCATGTGTTTTGTCTTTGTAAAGCAACATAGAGTCACAGGGCACCTGTAGGGTACCACGAGAAAAGGGAATTTGGAATCATGCAATCCTAACACTGGAACTATGGATTAAGTTTCTATTGCTGTAGAACAACCTATATTTAGCAGTTAATATAGTAAAACAAACTTCTTATCTCATGGTTTCCGTGGCTCAGGAGTCAGGCACAGCCTGGATGCATGCTCTGCTCAAGATGCCCCATGGTTACAATCAAAGTGCTCTCTCTGGACCTGAGAGTTCCCTTCTAAGATTATTCAGGGTGTTGGTAAAATCCACTGTAGGACCGAGACCCCAGTTTCCTTGCTGGTTCTCAGTTGAGAGTCACACTCAACCTTTTTTTTTTTTTTTAAATAATATCAGTTTATTTTTACATCATTTTGTACCTTTTTCCATCTCAGTTGTAATCCCCGTGGGCTTCCCATCACCAAACCACCCATGTGCCATTACCACAGTCCAGTGCACTTCCTCCCCCCCCCCACCATTTTTTGATCCCATTTCCCACTCCACCCCCATAACATGTCTCTGGTATATAGTTGTTCATTATTATTATTTTCTTCCCCCTGGTCCTTTATGGTCCTGCGATGCACACTCAACTTTTAAAAGCTGCCCTGGGGTTCTGGCTCCCTGACCCTTTAATAATATAGCAGCTTATTTCCTCAGGTCAGCAGAGGCTCTCTCCAGTCTGCTGTGAAGGAGTTGTATCATCATGCACTTGTGCTTAATCATATATTCAAGCAAGTGACTATATTCCATTATCACAATCTAAGTCATATAAGGTAACCTAATCAGAGGAACAGCTGTCCCATTCATTTCCTGCCCACACTCAATGGAAGATCATGCCGTTGGGACTATTAGAAGTCATCTTAGAATTCTGCCACCCAAAATCATCACCACCAGTCCGTGCAACATTTTGACTTCATAGGTGGGGGAGTTCTGGAAGTCATACCATCAAAAAGCCGAGAAGCAGCTATCAGGACAGAAAGAACCAGAGAATATCACTCTCCCGATTGACATTTATGATAAAGTTTGTTTTTCAAGAAAAGGAGGAAAAAACACCACGGCTGTCAGCTAAGTCACTATCACATACATTCTAAGACTCACAGGAAGGACAGACAGAACACTCACCTGAAGGATGCTGGCACGCTGACTCAACAACTTCAAAGAATCATAGTCAGCAGGAATTTCCAGCAAACTACTGGTGTTTTCTATCCAAACTTCAGTACTCTTCAAGAGATCATGATATTCCTCCATCTTAACTGTGGCCTGTGAAAGAGGGATGGTAGCAGAACTCAGTATGCTGCCTTCAATTTGTGGTTCTTGAAGACTTGGTTGCTGTTAATCAGTGGTGTGTGGTGCCACACTCTCCATGTGACAGGCTAGGGGTACCTGCCCATCCCCGCTTCAGGTTCTGACCCAAATGTTAAGACTAACCCTGGCCTTTGGCCTCAGTGAGGATCCCAAGTTAGCTATCCAAGTCATCTGGGTACCACTGTTTTGTCTATTTTTTTTACTTTTCAGATTTTTGGAATCAATCTAATCTTTTTTTTTTTTAAGATTTATTTAATTTGCTTACAGAACTAGGGAAAGGCCAGAGGTAAGGGGCAGTGAGAGGCTTCACTAGAGACAGATTGGGGAGCAGAATAGGGAGATCAACAAAGTACACTGCTGAGGGGAGCAGTGGGTGAGACAGGGGAGGTCTCCTCACCATGTGGATCACCTCTGGGGCCGGTGCCAGGGATAGAACTTGCACTGAAGAGTCTGTGGCAAGCTTACAGTGCTGCATCCTAACTTGTTGTGCCACTGTTTATTTTTTCAGGTAACACTGCCTTACAACATTGCATATGATCTGGGGGGCTAGGTCAGACCTTCTTGGATGTATGTCACCACACACCCCCAACTGCCAAAGTATCCATAGTCCTTTACCCTGGATCACTGGGGTCCCGTCCCACGTTGTCCCCATTTCCTCTCCCCTCTAGCAGGTGCAATCTTCATCTTATGCTTCATTCTAAACACTGGATTTATATTTGGTCCTTCTGTACAGGGCCTTGTCCAATAATATCTGAGACTTGGATCCTGCTTTACTCTTGTTAGATCACATGTATGACTCACCCACCATAACCTGTACTTGGAGAGGAGTGAGGGGCATTTGCCCCACATCATCCCCCCTTCCCAGCCACAACATTCTTCTGTATTATTGGCTCCCTCTACGGACTCTTGACATTGACCAAAATTCCCTGACATATCAGGAAGCCCACTGCCTGCCTGGTGTCCAGCTGTGGTCTGACTTTTAGATATTTGTTTCTGCTTGCACAGCAGAAAAAGTGCCCACATGAATCCAATGTGTGGCTCTAGCTTAGGTCTTAACACTGGGAAGTTAAGGGAAATTGGCTGTTTCTGAGTGCATTTTTTTGAGATATGACTTAAACCTATCTCAGAATCACCATATTTGAATATGCAACTATAAAGTGTTACAGTTGTACCTTATTTAACTGTGAGGTTCTAGATTCAGCTCTCTGTGATACTTGCTGATACCGCTGGAAAGGAATCATCAAGTTATCCATCCATTCTTGTGCCTGTCCTGGGTCCTGTTCAACAATGTCATGAACTTCAGAATCCAGCTCATTTAGCCTGGCATGCCAGAGATCCAGCTCATCCCACATTTTCTGGAAAGAGATACCATAAGTAAATTTGAATGGTGTCTATTCCCCGTTTTCATAAGGTTTTTGTATTGTAAATGCTACCAAAACAACATCACATAGATAACATTACAGGTAAAGTTATTCACTTATGCCTAGCAACCTCCTGTGACCTAAAACTGAAAAGCATTTTTTCTGAGCTCTTTAACTCTGTGTCCATTTCAGAATTAACTGTAAGGGAGCAGAAAGACCTGGACATTTCCTGAAATGAATGACACCAAACAAGGTCAATATAACCCTGATCTTTCAGGAGTAATAATGAGGTAACATTATGTTTAAGAGGCTTCAGTGAGCATCTGAACCTATTTTCACCAGTATATATGTACTTGAGCTGACAAGCTTTATTAAACTTAAAAATAAAACTAATAAAAAGAAGATCTGTGCTCTGACTCAGGATTCATGCAGTGACAAAAATTATGGTCACATATATTAGTTGCAACTGCTTTTGGCTCAAGAAACCAATAGGAAATAGGTTGGATTCAAATGTGGATTTGCTTGGCCAGAGGAGATCTCAAAGGTAAAATATTCAATTCTTAATATCTGCTTAAGAATACAATTTCTAGAAGTGAAAAAATAAGACTCATTAAGTTGCTTATTAAGAGTCCAGTATTTATCCAATAGCGAGTCATATCAACCTATTTTAAAATCTCTTTATTCATATTAGAAGATTTCCTGAAAACATAACCTAGAATAAAAATGCTTTTCAGATATAGGCGTTTACTTGGGAATGAAGGGGTAGAATATTTTGTTTATATACATTTTTCTCTGTAAGACTTAATTTTCTAAGCTATTTTACAAGGAAATTTGTTTTTCTCTTGACAGTCCAAAGAAAGCTGTTATGAGAACATATCTGATTGAAATCTTTTTAAATTAGTCTTCCCAAGATAAGATCTTAACTTAGGAAAAAGCTAGTTCACAAACAGACTCTCAGGAGTTGGGTACTTTCCAATAATGGATAAACTAAGAAGAATTCATAAATGCAATCTTTTCCAACAAGCTGTAAGTGTGACTGTCAACTTTTACTTGTGAATTCCACCCTGTGAATCTGGGGCAAATCTCCATGCTTCAGACTCATCCAAAGAGCATACCCTGTGGTAACTGATAAACATGGGGAGTGCCAAATACTGAAAAAGTTAAAAGAGGATGTTACCTTTTGAATTTCTTGAGCTTTCTCAATATTTTTGCTTTTCTGTTGCAACATCTTTTCTACATTATGAAGCCCACTGTTAATTTCACCTATTTTTCTGCTCATTGCATATGATGGTGAGATTTTCAAGACTTCATTGTTAATCTGTTCAAAGGACAAAGACACATTTGGATTACAGTTGTTCTTCTGGGCACTCAATTCCCAGGTTTAAAAGATGTAAGTGATAGTCACACTGCTATGCAATTTAACTTTGGAAAATCTTGTAAGGGCTAAAGGAAAATTTCCAAACCATGCTGGCTAATACATTAATGAAAGGGAAAGTGAGCATATGAGGAAATGGCAGCTGTACTGGCATATCCTTTTCAAATTAAACTTAAAAAAGAAAAGCCAATAAAAATTTATAATCCGTAATTCAGAAGCTTGTAAAATGTAATCTACATATAACAGAAATGTGCTCTTGGTAGACATATCCATGAATTATTTGAAATCTACCCAGATGGAACAAATAATAGAAAAGTATTCCTGGGAGATAAATTATATGTTCTTCCCATTTTACGAGAAAATCCTCCGCAAAGATCTGTTTCCAATAAGCCAAACTTACTCTTAAATTATCATTAGAATTATCAACCTTGACACTCACTTGGGTGGAGTAACCTTTTAAAGCTAGTTATTTCTTGAGGATGCATAAAATTCTCTTCTGTGTTTCTAGCATGTTTTCACAGCAATAAGAAATCTAGCCATTCAACAGCATAATTTATCTGAATGATTTTCCTAAGAAAATAATTTGTGCTAGTAAAGATAGTAAGTGAATGTTTAGTGTATCATTTTCCCAATATTTAAGTTGGTTTCCTTGTGTTTTTTTTTTTTTTGTGAAGCTATATTGACAAGGAATTCTCCGGGCAGCCACCAAATAACTAACAATACATTATACTTTTGTATCAGTTCTCTCCCTTTTAGTAATCACTACTATTTACATAGCCACTGAGACTAAAATCTCCCAGTATATAACAGATAGACTACAGATGCAACAACTTATTTAAAGTCACATATCAAAGTGGTGGGTGGACTTCACTGGAGATGTGTCCAAAGAATCCCTGAGTTACCAGATCCTAGAGTCTTTGACTCTTTTCACAATGCAAGATTGTTTATACTTTTATATGACACTTACATTCCACAGACCATATACAAATCAACATTATTAGAAAAAACCTGATCCTGTATTAGTTTTTTAAACTGCTTTATTAGTTTTTTTATTGCTTTGCAAGTAATTGCCACGAAAGTAACTGAGATTTTGGGTTGTTATTATTAACAGTTGTGGTAGAAATGCAATGCATTTATGCATGCATGACTTAGGAAAAGTAAGCACACATTTTAATGATGCAGAAATGTACTGTATTGCTTGCATTTTTAAAAATATAACAGCTTATTTTTACATAATTTTGTGCCTTTTTCCATCTCAGTTGTAATCCCCATAGGCTTCCCATTACCAAATCACCCGTGTGCCATCACCATAGTTTAGTGCACCCCCCCATTTCTGATCCCATTCCCCACTCCACCCCCATAAAATGTCTCTAGTACATAGTATATATAGTCCTTTATACTCCTGCTATGAGTGAAATCATCCAGTATTTTTCCTTTTCTTTCAGGCTTATTTCACTATGTTGTTTGCAGGTTTTTAAGACACGTAACACAATAAAAATCAGTTACTGTTGTTACAAATATACAATAGATGAAATTATCAACCATAAATTTAAAAAAGACTGATTCTGAATATTAATATATAGTAAGGATTTTCACAGTATTCACAACATTTAATTTTCATCATAAGACTTAGTATTCTCTTAAAATACAATCAGTAATACATGATCCTTAAGAAAACACCTTATAATGGCTTTTCTTAATAGGAGTTTATCAAGTTTTTTTTACCCAGGTTAGAGAATAGGAGTTTATCAAGTTTTTTTTACCCAGGTTAGAGTTTCCTAAAAAAATCTGTCAGAGATGTTAACCAAGTTGAATTCAGATGTGCCATACATTTAAGATCCAGTTGACTTATTAATTTAGTGGTAGGCAAGGCTCCACAAAGCAATACAAAAACCCGGTGGATGGATACCAGTAGAAATTCGCTGTGTTGGTTTTAGGCTGCTTTTAAACATGGTCTGAGTTTTATGAAACATTTCCCACTCTTTCTTCCAAATTGGACTCTCAGGTATAAAAGTATTCCCAGATATGTTCTATCAGAATTCAACTACCATCACTATTAGAAAGACATTTTGTGTTAAAAGCTAGCGAGTTATTAGGTTTGTATTCTTTCTGCCCTCGGTTGCAACTTCAAAATGTTAGTGTGGCAATACCTTTTAACAAAACACATTATTCATATCCAAAATTTTAAAGTAATTCTCCAGTAAAAAGGAAAAGAAGCCAAGTAAAAGATAAAATATAACTTCACTTTTAAATGCAAGGAGAAAAAAAATAAGTATCCACAGCTAAAAATAAGCAGACTGTCTAATTCTGTTATCTGTCATTTCTTTAGAGTTACTTCATCTCAGTATTCAATACACAAACATATCACTTATCTGAGTTCTATAAAAAAAAACAGTCATTGCTCATATAAAGGGCAAATGAAAATATGACACTAAATGTTATTTCTTTTCTTCATAGTCATTCAATTCCATAAAGAACACTGACACAAACATTATTATTACCTTCTCATCTAGGTCTTCTAAAGCTTTTCTGCATTCTTCCACCTGGGAGTCAACCTCTGCAGGGACTATGGTGTACATTTCAGAATACTTGATTCGTAGTTTTTCCATAATATTCTCAAAAGTTACTTTCCCCTTCTTAAAAATGTTTTGAAGCTCCTAAAAACATCAAAAGAGTTTCAATACTCACCGGATGGGGAAAAGTTTAACTCTAAAAATGAAAGCTGCTCTCCTGCACATCCTTAAGATTTAAATGAGTAAATTTTGCATGACAAAAACCTCAAGATTGATACAAGCCTATGAAGCCTGAGAGATAGTCAGAGGATGCTTTCTAATTTGTAAGGATGAAACCTGATCTCTCTCTCTCCCCAGTGTCAAACCATTGTCTTCGAACAGAATTACAACCCCAGTTTCTAAGGCACCTTAAGGATTTCATTGTATCACCCTTGCACTCCAAATCTAAAAAACTGTTAGTAGCAAAACGTTTCAAAGAAGTTTTTATTTTGTTATTAACTTGTTGCCATTTCTGCTCCTTCCTACTTTATCATCACAATGATTCAAGGCCACTAAAAGCCCCAAGCCTCAAGCAGAAGTGTCTGCTTTCATGTAATTAGACAGCCCAGCAGAGCTCAACTTGTTTCAAAAGGGAGGGTTCCAGTTCCATGCAAAGAATGTGGGTTTTAGGAGATAAAAGAAACCAGAACAAATAGCCTATTAGTTGTGGCCTAGAAACAAAATCTGATCTACCTTCTCCTACACTAATTAGAAAGGAGAAACTCATTTGTTTGGGAAAGTTTCCCAAAGACCAAGTGGAAAAATACTTCTTGACTTTACTGTGGCTCTTGGGGGTTGTTTTGTTTTTAAGAGTAGCCGTTTGACAGCATTGTTGATGTTAATGGATTGAGTCACCACACTGAAAATGACAGTTCTGAATGACTCTGTGATGTATCATTTTTTTCCTTTCCTTAATCTTCAACAGAGAACAAATCTAGAGAAAGTCAAAGAACAATGGCAGTCAGACAAAGGTAGTGTTTGAGGGATAAGTGTCTTCCTGTTCTATCTAGACTGAGTCAGACAGTACAGGTCATCAGTGCCACAAAGAGATGGCTTCCCCTTGACGACAGCTTCTGTGAATAAGTTTCTGTAAGATTAAGTTTCCCTTCACAACATTAATGACTAAAAGCTCTAACAACAGCATGTGACTTCTGAGGTAACACCCAAGTGTCATTTTTGCCTATCACTAGCCAGTAATAAGAAGTGATCATTCTGAAAAAAATTATTACATGTGCACTGCTCCTGGAATACAATATATTTGGTTTTTTCCCTAGTCTCTGGCACAGAGCTCTAAAACCCTTGAAATTCTCTGAGTGATGGGGTAAGAGTAATTTTTTTAAAAATACAAAACAGATATTTTCACCATACCCGATTTTTTTGCCATGCAAGGTTGGGTGCCATTTTAAAGGACAAGCTAACTTTAGTGAGTTATTTGATCGATGGAGACTCCATAAAAATGATGGAGTTAATGAACATAGGGAGAACTGGGAAAATGGAATGCCAGATATGGAGGCTCCAAAACCCATTTCCCCATCCACTGCCCTTCCATTATATACTTTGTAATAAACCTGTGATACAAGTCTAGCAAATTACTAGACCCAATAGGAGGTCATGGGAACCTTGCCTTATAAACCCTCAGCAGTTCACAGAGGTCCAGGGGTGGTGACTGGTGTCAGAAGTGGGGGTTGTCTTGTGAGAGTAAGCCCTTAACCTGCAGAGTTTATGCTAACTCTGGAAGTTAGTATCAGAGTTAAACTGAAACACAGGAGATTCAGTCCAGAGAGTTGGAGAAAATAGGTTACTGTTGGGCAAAAATAAAAAACACCATATATATTTGGTGTCATAAATGTTGTGATTAAAAACAATTCCACTTCTATCAGGAATGAAATATTACATCCTGCTGAAGCAAGCTGTGTAACCTGCTATTCAAAAGTGGTCTAAAGACCATGCTTGGTCTACATGGCCTACCTATTGGCCTACCAATTTGGTCTCAACTTGGTTCTCTGTACACTGATCCATGTGTACATTTCAGTCACACTATGCCACAGGGCTTTTGCATGTACTTTCCTTTTTCCTGAATTATTCTCTCCACCCTTGTCACCCAGTTATCTTGGCCCCAAAGACTTTGGATTCAAGACCACAAACCTATACTACAACATTCACTAGCTCATTCTCGCTTACCTCAAACTTTTCGGACTTTTCTGGGTGGTCTTGTGATTCCATATTTTGGAGAGAAGTTGTGGTCTGCTGAAATAACTTCCTTAAGGTAATCACTTCTTTTGTGAAAGAATCTCTCTCTTGGATTTCATTCTGTATCAGTTCCTTATTTTTCTGAGCTTTCTGCAAAAGTCTAAAACACAGATCAAGATAAAATAATTTCTTTGTCTTCTGTGAAATAGCTTTATTTCAATAACTAACAGTTATCTATATAGCTCACAAAGTTTTCTCCCCAAGGGAAATGTACCTTTTAATGATTTATACACTGCATATATAAACTTACCTCAAATTCTATTACTTAATTGAAAACCTCTCCAAACTATTCACCACAAAATATACTCTTTTTAAACTTTACATTAAAATTGCCATCCTCAACCTCTTTTCTTCATGTAACCCTGAGTTCAATTGAACATGACTTAGCGGTATGAGTAGAGTCATGGGTGGTTTCTTGGAGATAGACAACCCCCTACCTTCTTCTCTCAACTGACTCCATTAGCTGGAGTGTAGTCACCATTTTAGTAGAGAAGCTTAAATAGGTAAAAGCTTCCTTATAGCAACCTGGTAAGTAACTCTAGCTGCAAGTTTATTATATATTTTGACCCAGTGATTCCACTTCTTGACATCTTTCTCAATGGATTAATTACAGAGGCAGACAGAGATTCTAGCATGAAAATATTCATTCCAGTGTTTTTATAAAATAAAACACATACACATTCACAATTTAAAGGTGCTTCTATGTCAGGGACTTGGTTAAATAAACTATGGCACATCAAAATAGTGAGATATTATACAGTTATATTTCAAAGAACATTTAAAGACTAGGGAAATAAGCATGAAAAGGGGTAAGTGATTCTGCAGACTACAAAACAGTATAAGAACTAAAATTACAAGTTGTTTTAAAATATCACCAAAAAGCAATGAAAAAAAGTGACTTAAAGTGGTTGTGGCTAAGTGATAAAATTAGAGATGGATTTTATACTCATTTTTTTATTCTAATCATTTTTTATGTTTTCTAAAACCCCTACAAAGAGTATGTATTATTAAGTTAGAAATACAGTAACAACAGCAAAGAAAACATAATATCCTAGGTAATATCCCATACTTATTTATCTTTACTAATGTTTTCCATTCTTTTATCTATTAGTATATCTATCTTTATATCTATTAGTATGGACTGAATTCAATACCGTATCATTTGTCATTATTCTATAACATTTTTAGATTCACAAAGTTCAGTATTTTCTAAACTTCAGGCTTTATAGTTTTTCATAAATCTTACTTGTTACATCGTTCTTGCATAGATGTAATCTCTTGAAATGCTGGAACAGACTCCATAGCCTGTACGTTTTCAGGGACATTCGGTATGCTCTTTATGCGCTGAAGAAGCAAGGCCAGTAACAGCTGCTGGTTCTCCACATTCTGTTCATAGTGATGGAAACAGTCTAGCAGCTCAGAGAGTTCCTCTGTGCTGGCTGCCTCTTTTGTTTTGGAAATTTCAGGGAGTTCCTCTTGAAGGTTATCTAAAATAATTGCTTCTCTTTCAATCTAAACATACAAACAAAAAGTGGTTAAGCACATGCTTACCACTTCAGGATCACAAACAGAATTCAAAAACCAGATTTTCTGAAAACTGACATTTTAAAGGGTTTCTAATAGCATAGCCTAGCTCGGAGTAGTATCTATCTTCTTGAAGTTGGGAATATTATTCCTCCATTATCATAATCCCATAAATCCCAGCTATTTATCAGACAGATGTCAATTGAAATGAACTGCTGTTATGAGCCAAAGGAAATAATGTTGAATATTTCCTAAATATTTTATTTTTCCCTTCGATAAATGAAACAGTATTTCTCCTGAGGTACCCATTGACAAATGATTGAATAAAGACAACATAATATACATACTCAATGGAATATTACTCAGGTACAAACAAAGGCAAAATCCTGCTATTTGCTATATAACCTAGAAGATGTTGTTTAGTGAGAAACTCAGAGGAAGAAAAACAATACATGATTTCATTCATGTGTGATAAAGAAAGAAAGAAGACATGCAACTGATTTAAGTAAGACCAATAAACCCTTTTAAGGTTACCACAAGGGAAGAGGGGAAGGAAAGGACCAAGTAAAAGGTATCAGATTGTATGGTGAAGGCTGGAGCTAGACTTTTAGTGGTAATAAATACAGATAATGATTTATAATGATACACAGCCAAAACCTTTATCATATTATAATGCAATGTTACTTCAATTAGACTTCACTTATATGTGGAATATAGAGATATTGAACATAAAGTCAGGGGAAAGGTAAAACTTTCAAGCAGACAATAGATTGAGGCATATAGTAGGGAAGGGGAGAGAAATCGTCAAAACAGGAGGAAGAGCACAAGGAATATGGTGATAGATCATGGGTGCTATAGTGGTAAGAGAACCACAGGAAAATCAAATACTGTACAAAAATCAATTATGACATATGAAAATAAATTTAGTATAATTCTTCTTAAAAGGCCATAAAGATGGGGGGGGAGTTCAAAATACGAACAGAAATTCACTTTGTCACATATAAAGTACTGATCGTGGTAACAGACTCACATTTTTAGGTCTTTAGATGATATAACTTTTATTAATGGATAAAATTATTAATAAATCTTGTATTGAATTTGATACTTGAGCCAGAATTTAAGTTTGAATTCACTCAGTTGTGAATCTGGACAAGTTGCTAAAACTCGTTTCATTTATAAAATTAGAATACTAAAAATAGCTGTCTCATAGGATTCTTGTGAAGACAAATGGGATAATCTAGAGAGTAACTTGCCCCTAGAAGAACAAATATGCAAAACTTTGTTTATTTTTTTTAAAGATTTATTTATTTATGTATATAGAACTGGGATACAGGCCAGAAGTGCAGGGGTGGCGAGAGGCTTCACCAGAGACAGAGTGGGGAGCAGAACAGGCCAACTGACCAAGTACACTGCTGAGGGGAGCAGCGGGC